TCGTGTTCTTTTGTCCAAAATTTTTGCGGACGGTAATGTTCAGCTATGCGCTGAGCATTATTGGAGTTTGAATTGGAGTCAAGGCTTTTGACAATTGTATTTCAGCAAACAGTACAACTCAATAACTGAACAATCATTCTAAATACATTGCTGTTGTATTTTTAACAATTTTCAATTTCCATTTCAAGTGCAATCAAAATCTATGATTCTGCTATGTTCATACAATCTGCGAGCTTAAATCTGCGCAGTTTAATGTTTACGAGCACAATTGCAAGTGCAATCGTCATAGCTGACCTAAAATCGGTGGAATTGTAGAATGCAACTTTAAAAGAATAAATAAAAATGATATTCATGCAGTGGCGGTTATAACATACACATGCAAATTTACATACATACATGCATATGTATGTATTTACGAGTTTTAGGTTGGGGGATTAAAGGTGAAATTAGTCAAGAACGCAGTACTTATACTTAAACGCTGCCTGTATACGCAATATTTTGTCGATTACTGGAGCCCTCAGTGTAGCTTACTGCAGTGTTGCCACTCATCAATGCCTTTTATAACTTTTTTACCATCTGCAAGACTGACGAAGTGGCAAACATCTATAGAAGGAAGAAATCAGCTGACACGGAAAAATCTAAATTCCGCAGATTTCTGCGCTACGGGCTACAACTACGGAAAAATTCTGCAGTGTTGAGTTTTCATTTACATGGCGCTTTGGTAAGACAGATCGTGTCAGCTGAGTCGGGTTTACGCACCGGTGGGTTTACGTTCTTGACTAATTTCACCTTAACGGAGGTGAAAAACGAGCGCGCATTACTAAAGCCTCCAAGTTTCGGCTTAGGATCGTCCCCTGATCAGTATATCCGAGGTATGTATGTATGTATGTGCATACAGATGTAGGTATATTGTTTAGACATTAGGGTGCGCTTTTTAACAAGAGTCCGTTATATTAGTCTTTCATATTGACAAATGTATGTATATATATATTAGGGTGATTTTTCGGCGACTACTCTCTTCTTTGACTCCCACCTCGAAATTTTGTGGGAAATATCTAAAAACAAGTTCCCTGAAAATTTGAGCCCTTTATATTAATACATATTAAGTTTGAAAATAGATATTTCCCACAAAATTTCGAGGTGGGAGTGAAAAAAAAGAGTCTCCGAAAAAAAGGACCCTAGTATATATATGTATGCATGCATGTCAAAAACGGTTCAGAAGGTCTCTGAGCGCACATGCCAACTTTTAATCAGGATACTTTCACCAATTGATACCTGCACCGGGGCTAAATTTCCATATAAATTGTGCCAACCTTAAGAGCCAAGATGGAAAACAGCTGACTGTATTCATTGGACACACTTATTTCGGTATGTATAAATGCTTTCAATATACATAAGTGTGCTACACTGACACGAGTATGCGCAGCAACAGCAGTGTTTTGCCTCTGCTGAACATTAGGGTACACACATATGTATTGCATCTACATTTATGTATATCTATGTTAATATAATATTAAATATATATGCAGTTCCGACGGCACTCTGGCTGAGTGGGTAGAGGCGTCTACTACTGGTCCATAGGACTTGGGTTCGATCCCTGGTCCGAGCAACATCTAAATTTAAAAAAAAGTTTTTTTCTAAGAGCGGTCGCCCTCGGCAGACAATGGGAAACCTTAATTAAATCCATTTTCAGTCGGATGCGGCGCAACATTGTAGGTCCCTCCATTTGTTGATATACATATATAATAATAGGACGCATACCATAAATTGGAGGAGAAGCTCGGCCGCACGCTTAACAAAATGTAAGCGCCAAAATATAATTAACAGTCAGTTTAATCCTACATTTGAAAACTCCGTACAGAACATTAGTGAACTACATACATATTTTAAGTCTAACACATACTTATGTGCATATGTATGTACGTACATATGCATGTAGTGATACTTGACCGATGGTTCCGTAGGAGTGACTTTCGGAGGGAGTATGTTAGGTTTAACGGATTGAAGTTACGCTCTCCGCCTTTCGATGCTTCCCCCTACCTAAAAAAAAATATATTTACGAAGGCATGCAGTAAGTTACCCCTTGCCTACCGAACTGCCTTTAACCCAACGTACAAGGGGATTTATTTAGTAAGCTTATTTTGGTTATAAATTTGGCCCGCAACATTGGCCAAAAGCTGTATGGCATTTTCACTAATCGCCATCGCATTGGTCGGCGGCATTCATACATACATATGCAAATATGTACATACATACTTACATGCCGACTTATGTATGTACATACATAAGTACATTGTCTCCGCAAACCGAGTCACAGATACATAATTAACAAGTTGCTGGCGTTTAAGGCTTGACTTTTGCTATCGAAGCTGCATGCAAATCAGCAATCAAAATCATGTTACACAGCTGTGCCACATTGGACACACATGTGGATATATGTACATATGTATGTATAGTTAAACATACGTACAAATGCAGCATGAGTGGCAGTAACAACTATCTCACCTAGGTTTGTCACAACAAAGTCGCAAGTCAATAAAATTGGTATTGATTTATATCTGCATATCGAACATGAAGAATGTTCATCAGTCAGTAGTAACAACAACAACAACAGCGTGCCCGCGTAAACGCGCTAAACATGCTAATCGGCAATAAGCAGCAGCCGAAGGTTGGATCCCAGAAGCTAATTTAGGTAGGCCACCTTAAGTGAAGCCATTCAAAAAAGGCATACCCAAGAAGGACCTAAAAAGTGCATCCGTGCATGCCAAGCTAGAAGGGCTTTTCCCATTCACAATTTTCGCGAATGCATAAGTTTTTTATTTAGCATACATATGTATGAATTTCAATATATCTACATACATCCATACATTTCAATTTGCAATAAAACATATTTAATATAAACCTTAAGCAAATACTTTAGAGATACATAAATGATTTTTATGAATTAAAGAGGCAACTTCAAAAGAACTCCTCCAAGGTCAGAAGGCCCTCAATTTGTGCCACTCCATACAAACAAAAACGAGAGGTGAAAGGAATGTACAAGGCCTCTTGACTTTCAGGAAGGGAGTTGCACTCCTGAAACTCTCTACTAGGATGTTTTGCGTATCAAATATGTGATAACGGTGTCTGTGAAAAACTCTTTTACCAACAAAACATGTAGTAAACAATTTTCCCTGAAAACCCCGCCTCGTGATATTGTTATTATTAAAGTATAAAAATTTATAGAATTTACACAGAAATTTTGAATTTTCCAAAAGTGACGGGGGGACAACGATGACAACCGCCTCTCTGAGTTGATGGATTCGTTTCTCAATTTTAGACAAACTATAAATACATATTTCGTTCATAGCGCTTTTTTCGTATGAAGCTAAGGTCCATTTTATGCTTTGAAGGCATTTTTATATTTGACAATAAAAATCAAAAAAATATTAGATTGTGACCGGTGGGACGAGTCATGATTGAGGACTCATATATATATAGTTTGTGAGTAAAATAAAATCTACTAGTTTGATATGAGTACATATTTATTATAATTTTAATGAAACTAATATTGCTGGGTGGGGTAGGACGTCCAATAAGCAATTCCGTTAAAGCTGCTAATTTCCCAGCATGAATGTATTTTTGTAATAACTCAGCACTGCTTTAAAATCCATAAGTTGGAATTTCCTTTTGGATAATTATTTTTTGCAATATCTTCTCAATATGCGAGAAATGCCTTGACAACTCGATGAGAAAATACTATATTTGAGCTAATCGAACTACGGCTGCCTTAATAACAGTAAAAATCGAGAAAATAGTGAAAAATAAATCGATAAAAATCATGTTCGGCTTTACTGTATTCACAGATTTAAACGCAATCTTATAATTTATTTGTTGACCTGTGGTGTCTTCTTCGTTGAAATTACCCAATTGTTTTTTCAAAAAATTTCGCCAATCGTTCATCCCTAGTGCAGATATTTATGTATGTATGTAAATATATGGATCCTCCTTTTAGTGATTCTAAAAATACTCTCCTGGCTTTGGTTATTTTTTGTGGCAAAATACATCTCAAAAAGGGCAATTGCTTTCCAACTGTCAGCACTGCTTACAGTTGGTTATATTTAGCACCTCTCTTACATGGATACACACATCTATACACATGTATGTACATATGTATGTATGAATGGAAATATTTTCATGTGCAGGTAATGTCAGCATTTTGCCGAAAGATCACCGCAAAAAATGCCCTTCTATTATGGATGCATAGAAAATCTATTGAGCCTCGACACACTTGTCTTTTCAGACCGTCTGAATCCGGGGTTTCATAGGCGAGAGCGGGAAGACAGTGGTATTTTACCTCAGCAATTTCAGGCCGATAAAAATGCGGTATGAAAAAATGCAGGGAAACCCCGAACTGGCTAACAAAAAAATTGTGGTCCAAATTAATTAAAAAAAAACAATTCTTTTTGGTTGTTGTTGTTTCCGACAGTTTTCGGAGAACGAAAAACGACACTGAAGATGGCACAACGCCGAAACCGGTTTGTCTCCAAACCAAATTTGACAAGGGATGACGGAAATTCGTTCCAAAATACACAAAAAAAATAAAAATTTTTATTTGATTTCATATTTTTTTTTTCAGTTCTTCTTTCCACCGTTTCGGGGTTTTCGTCATCTGAATACGAATTTTACTCATTTAGTTGCATTTTCGGCTTGCATTTTTATGGAAACTCCCATATTTGTGTGCTTTAGGGTAGCTTGTTTTGAGGTGAAAACAAATGTATGTACCTACCGTTTGTCGCTGGTTGGTGGACTGAATTACACTTTAAGGTAAAAATTAAATATTGTGAGGCATTATGGATAAAATTAGGGATCTAGGGATCTAACTAAGCAGTTGCCGTACTACATTTATAATTTATAATAATATAATTTAAGATTAAAACTTTTAATAACTACACACAATACATATATATAAACATAAAATACATAGGTATGTGTGTATATGAATTCATTTGTAAACTTACTTTTCCATTTCCTTCACATCGACGCTATTCCTTACTTTCGGTGCATCTGTGGTGTGTGGCAGATCAGCAGCGCTTTGACTAGGCGACGCAGCTGTGACATAGCCGCGTCGAGGCGGCACTAACGGTGGAGGGGCATGTGTCGAAGGCGCAGTGGTTGTGTGTGGCGGCATAAACCCAAGGTCGCGTCGATTGCTAACCCAATCCGGACTGACCCCTCCTGTTGTTCCCGATTGACTGATAAACTCCACGTCGTTGGTGTTGTCGTCCCCCTTGCCACTGCCGCCAGCTATCGTTACGGCGCCGGGACCAGACATACCTGTCGGCGATTCATATGTGTTGCTATGCACATTGTAGACATGGTATTTCCATTCCGAATTGCCTCGATGGTTGTGGAGACGACGCTGCACTGCGTTGTTGTTGTTGTTGTTGTTGTTGTAATAATCCCGCGCGCTCAAACGGCGGAGTCGCGTCGACTTTTGCAGCAATGCTGGTGAAGCGATCAGGCTGCTTCTAGTTCTGTTATATATCGATTCAACATCCGAGGTCGAGGTAGTACCAGACTTGGTGAATGTGCCAAGACGACGCTGTCGACGTTGTAGCTGTGGTCTTTGTTGCTGCAGTCTTTGTTGTTGTTGTTCGGTCACTAATTGTACCTTGTGGTGGTGGCCATGATGATGTGCGGGCTGGTTGTGAATGCTCTGCATTGTCGCTAAATGCGTCTGGTGCGATGCTAGCGGGTTCTTCTGTTCTATACTCACTTTCGCATGAGTACTTATAATGCAGGAAATAAGGAGTACCGCTGCTATGACTGCCCAATCCAGAATTTGGGTCATTTTGTCGTGTGAATTCTTCAATATGTGCTGCAGTCAGTAGCCGAAGTTGAGATTAATTTATATTTCAGCGAATATCAATAATAATAAAGCGATAACAGCTGTGGACCTGCAAAACAAAATTTGGAAGGTTACAGTGATGAGGTATGGGATATAATCTATTCTATTCTTGATGGGCACTTTTTTAATCCACTCATTAGATATACGTTTAGGTGCCTTTGTATGCGGATTTGAATTTATGAAGGTTTTCAAACCATTTTTGAGAGTTTTTATTACTTTTTTCAGTGTGTAAGAGACAATGCTTCTGATAAATAATTTGTTTTTGTATTCTTACATAATGCATGTATTTATTAAGGTATTTTTTTGTTTTTGGGTAAAATACAGATCAAATTTTATTTAATGTTCAGTTTTACATGGAAGGTGAAGACATAAGCTATTATTTTTTGCTTAATATTGCCTCACTGAATTTTTTCTGCGGTTTTTTAGAGTTTTTTACATGGAGTATCTGAATTCATGCGGTTTTCAAAAATGCTGGAGCGCATCAGTTGTATGAAAGTAAAAAACGCTTTTATGCGGATTTTTTTATCCGGCTTTCTGAGCCACGCATGTACTGCATAAAAAGAGACCTAAGTGTACTTATAATGATCTATGAGCTGTACCGAACCTTTCGCGCGTTATCTCCTGTGTACATACATACATACATACATAGGTATGTAGGTATCTACATATTCTAAACCAAACCTTAATGACATTTATCAGCTTTTACATTTCAAATGAAAACGACATGCTTCGCCAAAAACACAACACAACTGAGCTATTTTGCATAATTCCAACAATTCATTTAATACAGTCAAATCCAAATCAAACGTAATTTGTTTTGGCACATCCCATCGCCGCGGCGATCCCTGGCATAAATAATATTCGAATGCACAAAGAATTGATAAGTATCCTATACTACTTTGCCAGCATATATTACATACATGTGTATGTATGTATGTATGTATGTATGTAGATATCCATATTTGCAAATTAAGACTTCCAAGAAATCAAGACTTTTAGTAGTAAAATATACCAAAATCAAGGCCATCTTGGACGCCTAGTGATTTATTATTTATATGCACACACATATTCATTGGCCAATTGTCTGGCTAAGGCTACATACACACTTTTAGTAGTGTTGATACGCACAAGCACATGCTCACACAAGCATACATATATTTATGGATTAAAATATATAGGCAACTGAACGCATCTGCAGCAAAATAATGGAACTCGGATACAAAGCGCTAGTTAAGCAATAAGCAGTTCAAATCGCTGCTGGGTAAAGCGAAAAGTTTGTAATAGAATCCCATATAGGGATGTCGGAAAAACATCGATGCATCGAAAATTTTCCACTCGATGTATAAATAGTCGATGGATGTATCGATGCATCGATGTGTCGATGTTTGTTTTGAAAACTGCCATCTCCGGTACATTGAACTGTCATTCCAGTTTTTCAATTGTTCAAAAAAGAGAAGTGATTTTAGCCAAAAAATGTAAATGGCTGCAAGAAGTTCCGTTAAAACATAGCTCAGTTGCAGTAATTTATTTCAAATTTTCTACAATTTTGCTAATAACATATTTTGTTGTGAAACATTATCTGAAAAATCCTATGCAAATTGAGGCATCGATGTATACACTTTTCGATGCATCAAAAAATATCGGTGTACATTTCGATGCATCGAATCAAAGAAAAGCATCGATGTATTTTTGCCACTGACATCCCTAATCCCATAGAATAAATGTACATATGTAGGTCCAACAAAATATTAATGTTATTTACCTAAAATTTATAGGGAAATTCAATGAGAAACTGATGTAGATATACACAATTTTGAATCTTCCCCAGTTTTTCATGGATTTTTATATGTACGCATCTCATATCTAGTTAACTATTAGAAATAAAACATTATTTTCAAATGTTGAATGATATTAAAATATTTTCTGAAAAATTGTGGAAAACTGTACTGAAGTAAAAAAATCGTCCTTTTTGGTTGTTGTTGTTTCCGACAGGGTGGGTGTATGATGTATTATGGAACGAATTTCCGTCATTCCTTGTCAAATTTGGTTTGGAGACAAACCGGTTTCGGCGTTGTGCCATCTTCAGTGTCATTTTTCGTTCGTCATTTTTGTCTCCAAACCAAAATTACAAAAATTTCGTAGATGTATCGATTACCAGTATCTCACTAGAACAAAATATGTACATTAGACTGCATCACTCCCCATACAAAAAAAATCGGTACTATTTGTCCATTGGAATTATAAAATCTATTATATTTTAAGACGTCCACCAAAATATTTCGAAAAAATATTAAGATTTCAGTCAGCTGGACCAATTTCAAAATACATCCATAAATGGAGTTTTTTATGAATAAAAATAGTTTCTTAAAAAAAATTTTTTTTTTAATTCCCTCAAATGACAAAACGGGTTAAGCTGAAAAAATTTGCATAAAAATTAAAAAAAAAAATTTTAACGGAATCGTAATGATGAGATTTTTGGTGCTGTTTTTTAACTTTTTTCAAAGATTGGTATAAGAAAAACTTGAATAACTGTGATTTAGACTTAAGAGCTGTCGGTGGAAAGGTATTTTCTCACCCTTTTTATTTCTTTGTTAATAAACTCATTCAAAGGATGAAAGAGAAAGGTAGGATGAACGAACGTCATTCAAAGTTGAATTAAGATGTGTTGGTATTTGAAAAAAAAAAATTGGGACACGAATGATTTTTTTTTTGGACAGAAATAAAAACAGTGTGAAAATACCTTTCTACTGAGATCCCATAAGTCTAAATCAAAATAGTTTTAGCCCAGTTATTCAAGTTTTTCGTAAATCAAACTTTGAAAAAAGTAAAAAAAAACAGCATCAAAAATCTCATTCTTACGATTGCGTTGAAAATATTTTTAAATATTTTTATGCAGATTTTTTAAGCTTAATCTGTTGTATCATCTGAGGGGATTTTAAAGGTATTTACGAAACTATTTCTATTCATAAAAAACTTCATTTGTTGAGGTATTTTCAAATCGGTCCAGCTCACTTAAATCTTAATATTTTTCCCAAATATTTTGGTGAACGTCATAAAATATAATANATTGGAATTATAAAATCTATTATATTTTAAGACGTCCACCAAAATATTTCGAAAAAATATTAAGATTTCAGTCAGCTGGACCAATTTCAAAATACATCCATAAATGGAGTTTTTTATGAATAAAAATAGTTTCTTAAAAAAAATTTTTTTTTTAATTCCCTCAAATGACAAAACGGGTTAAGCTGAAAAAATTTGCATAAAAATTAAAAAAAAAAATTTTAACGGAATCGTAATGATGAGATTTTTGGTGCTGTTTTTTAACTTTTTTCAAAGATTGGTATAAGAAAAACTTGAATAACTGTGATTTAGACTTAAGAGCTGTCGGTGGAAAGGTATTTTCTCACCCTTTTTATTTCTTTGTTAATAAACTCATTCAAAGGATGAAAGAGAAAGGTAGGATGAACGAACGTCATTCAAAGTTGAATTAAGATGTGTTGGTATTTGAAAAAAAAAAATTGGGACACGAATGATTTTTTTTTTGGACAGAAATAAAAACAGTGTGAAAATACCTTTCTACTGAGATCCCATAAGTCTAAATCAAAATAGTTTTAGCCCAGTTATTCAAGTTTTTCGTAAATCAAACTTTGAAAAAAGTAAAAAAAAACAGCATCAAAAATCTCATTCTTACGATTGCGTTGAAAATATTTTTAAATATTTTTATGCAGATTTTTTAAGCTTAATCTGTTGTATCATCTGAGGGGATTTTAAAGGTATTTACGAAACTATTTCTATTCATAAAAAACTTCATTTGTTGAGGTATTTTCAAATCGGTCCAGCTCACTTAAATCTTAATATTTTTCCCAAATATTTTGGTGAACGTCATAAAATATAATAAATTTTGTAATCCCGGCGGAAAAACCGCAACTTTTTTTTGGTGATGCAGTCTTAGAAGGCGTTTTTCTCGAGTTTGGCTTTTTTGAGTTCTCGTCTCGGGTAAACAAAATAGTTGTAATCATAATAAATTAACCGGACTTTCATACAAAGTTAAGTAAGTTTACGAGGTTTACGTGGTTACGAGGCATTTACGCGTTTAGATGAATTGCCCTAATAATTTGTGTTTCATGAAATCTATAGTAATTATATAAAGAGAAGTCCTTTTTGTAACGGGTAATCTCGCGAACGGCAGGTCCGATTTTCATGAAATTTTTTATATAAATAGCTTTCAGCAACCACCATGTGAAGGGCAAAAAAAATACTCTTTTCAGGTAGGTTGAAATTTGGTACGTAGGTACCTTTTTGCCTAGAATAACATACATATAGGATACTTTTTTCGGGTATGTGGACCAGGGACCGATCTATTCGAACAAATCGTGTTTTTGGTTCGATTTGCTTGAAATTTGGCACGTAGTTAGCTTATTGCTTGGGTTAAAGTATAGGATACTTTTTTTTCTGATAGGTGGACCAGAAACCGACCTATTCGAAAAGATCGTATTTCCGATGATTTGCTTGAAATTTGGCAAGTAGGTAGCTTTTTTCCTAGACTAACATATACGATAATTTTTCCGGTAAGTGGACCACGGTTTGAACTATTCGAAAAAATATTATTTATGGTTCGATTTCCTTGAAATTCGGTACACGTATTACAGAAATACACACCACCCTGCCCACCTTTAGTTCAAACACTTCACACTTTTAGTTCATACAATTTTGAGGCAAAAATATTTCAAAGTTTATATTCGCTATCGCCAAAAGTCTCCAAAAGAATAGCAGCCGTGCCTAACAACACGCAACATCTAGTTACATCCTCATCCTGTCAGATTTTGCTGAGTACACATTGCATCTCTTACATTTGTTGCATGTTGTATATTTTTGGGCCCCACTACTTCTCATTTATAGAATTTTGGCGACGAAAAATTGCGTAGCGATTGTCAGAATTCAACTGCTGATATGGCTAATATTCAAGGTATGTATTGGTAACGTGACGGGAAATATATCTGCGAAAAAATTGATCGTCAGGTGGCTCTGAAGTCGAGTTATTACTAAAAATTGTATTTAAG